GTTCATTGTAGCAAGCACTGGCGGTACTCGCGCTGCTCTCAAAGCGACGCTAGCGCCAACGCAACGCCAAAGTTGTATGTAGACGGTCCTTAATGTTTTGTCTAAGAAATCCGACGCGTCTACTTCAATCGCCGACGCTGCCCCTGCTGCTGCTGGTTGTTCGTCTAAGAAATTATCTTATCCTGACGCTGTTGTTCTTGGCGCTACTATACTCATGCCGGAACCGAATTCATCGTCTTCCACCGCTCACGCATCTGAGTTGAAGCAGCGTAGCATTGCTGGCTCCAGCTCAAACTCTGAGTTGAAAGTTGCTAGTAGTATGAAGTGGCTGCACTTATCATCATTTCAGCCATCTGTCACTGCTGATGAATAATTGAGTACATATCAAATCATGCCAATATTAGTAAGGGCCAGATTTTATGCAATCATTTAATCAAAAATAATGTTGATCCTAATTCCATTCGGAGAGCAAACTTCAAACTTGGTGCTCCCAGTTCGCTCTATGAAAATCTGATGTCAGCGGATCTTTGGCCGGTGGGTGTAAACGTACGTCCCTTTCGTTTTTTACCGAGAGGGGGAAACCAACAGAAAGCTTTGTAACAAACTATAGAAATTCCTCACGATCTAAAAAAAAATTTAATGTCTACTTTCAAAATGCCTCTGTACTTAGAACTAAATCGCAGTTGGAGTATGACGTCTTTGTCGTTGTTGAGACATAATTTCTTTGATGAGGAGTTTTTTGACAACAATCACTTTCTTGTCTATCGTAAGGACAGATATTCCAATAAAACGGGTCGTGCGAGAGGTGGTGGGGTTTGAATTGCTGTGCAGCGCAAGCATTTTCCATATATATATATATATAAAATAGTACCCTGAAATGCCAGCTTAATAGAAAATAAAATAAAAATCTTAATATTCAACGGTCATTTTCGGTCCCTGCTTAAATTTCAATGTCTAATGTTGTATGAAAAAAGGATCAATATTAGAAATAAAATTAAATTACAACTTCATGGTAAGAAAGATATTACATATTGTATGTATGGATTTTAATTATAAAACAAAGCACAAATAAATAAAAAAATTATTCATAATTAGCAATCTTAGAAGATAATGCTGTTCCATGCGATTTTATGTGTGCACATAGTCCAGCGGATTGGGCAAAACGCTTCCCACAAATCTTGCAAACAAATTTCTTTGCTGCATCATGAATGTCTTTGTGTTGACGAAGTTGTTTCCGAGTTGTAAATCCTTTATTGCAAACGCTGCATATTTTGTCCCGCACCTTCAAATGAGTGGCCTTGTGTTCCCTAAACATTCTTCTAGTATAAAAGGCCTTTGGACAAATTGTACATTTGTGAATTTTGCGTTCCTCATGTCGTAGCAAATGTTCTTTAAAATCGTATAGCCTTTTGAAACTTTTGCCGCAAATATCACAAACATACGGTTTTTCGCCAGTGTGGATAAGCATATGGGCTTTTAACTCAGTTGAGGTTGCAATAGGCCTGTTGCACACCTCACAGGTGTAGCTGTAGTCTTGTGCATGCCTCCGCAAATGTACCGTTAAAGTATCTGACTTCTGAAATCCATGTCCACAAACAATACATTTATATGGTGGCGATCCGTCATGGGATGCTAAATGTATTTTGTACTGGGTTTGACTAGGAAGTAAATTTCCACAAACTGAGCATTCAAAAGGATTAACATCGACCTCAGCAAACGCCAAGTGCTTATAATATGGGCATGTTGGTTTATAAATACTTTTGCTTTGTTTACATTCTATTTTTTGATTCTTTTCGTATGAACATATTTTGCGTAGTCGAGAAAGTTTCTTTTCCAGATCAGGTTTAGTTAAGTTTATATCAAACTTTTTATTAAATTCCTGAAGTATATTCTCCAAGGCTTCACGACGCCTGTTAGTGAATCTGTATGCTATCTCATTTTCATTCCAGAGGCATGGATGTGTTTCGTACCTTTTGGCCAAATCAATAAATTGTTCATCGCTTAACACGATCTCTGGTCTTGAGAGCTTTTTAGTCTTCCGATGNTATAGTTGAGCAGAGTACGAAAATAAACTGTACAAAACAATTCCCGTTTGCTCATCGACAGTGTACGAAAATAAACTATATTGTACGTTACTATTTCGTTTCGTGTATTACTTTAACAGTTCGGTACAATACGAAAACAAAACGGCTGAGTTCACTTTGGCGATAGTACACTACAGTAGGTAGTAGTTACATACGAAACAACAAACGAAATGAATCGTGCAGAGAAAAATATATGTATGTATGTACATATATGCAATAACTAAATACAAACCGAATGGCTGCAATGAATAAAAAAAATAAAAATGTTGTTTAATTGAATTGGATATGAAAATNTCGTAATTGAAACGTTTGCATACATATAAAACGTACTATATGGTACAATTGTCACAAACGAAAAGCAAACGTTTCTCGTTAGGGAAAATGACAGTGACTCTTACAATTTGTTTCTGACTATGTACAAAACTGTACAAAACCACAAATGATATGATGATCGATGAGCAAATGGAAATTGTTTTGTACAGTTTATTTTCAAAAAATAAAGACTGTTATTACTGTTAAGTGGCTCATGTCTATAATCCTTGTCGAATCAATTTCTAATCTTTAGTACTTACTTTAGTATTATGTATGTTACCGCATAACTTTGGACCACGTCAACCGATTTTTCGCTTCGGAAAGGTAGTGTCTCAGAGGTGGTCCCATAATAATCTGGTTTAGATCCGATCAATGGATCATGAGATATATATATTTATATATTTATATGAGAATTGAAGTAGTTTTTTGCTAAAAATTACTTGTCAAACATAAAAATTGTCGAAGTTAGGCAACTTTTATGAATGTTAATCCCGGGATCCCCTTTTAAGGGTTTTTATGCGATTTCAATAAATGAGGAGTTGCCTAACTTTGCAAATTTTCTCTGCAATTTTTTTATTTAATATTTTTTTTTTATTTAATAATTAATATTTTTTTTTATAAATGTCTAGCCCATACATATAACACCGTGCGATGGTAAATTTTACACAAAAAAATCAAAATATTCGCGAAACCATGGGCCAAATATAATAAAATTGCGATTTTGGTTTTTAACTCCGACGTCAGTAATCCAAAAATGATTTAAAAAATTCAATGAAATGTTCTTAGAGAAGAAGTATTGGTATCAAATTAAAGAGAAAATCCCATAGAACTTAAACAGATTAAATTTGTTGGTGCATAATCACTGGTAAGTATTGAAAATGTTATTTTAAAATTTTATTCTTGAAATTTCGCAATTTTGTTCTTGAAAAAATTGTATGTTAAGCACTTATATAAACTCGATAACATCCTCGAATTTCATCTTTCTAATTTTATCTGCTTAAAAAATTACCTATTCGTCCTTGTGAGTCCAAAACATTTAAATTTTTTTACATTCTAAAGAAATTTCCTCTTGCATTTGGTACCCATATTTTTGTTCTAGATCATCATCATCAATATTTATTCAAAATTTATATATAGTTACAATAGCTATTTAGCAAAATAGTGCTTTTTCAAGAAATTTTAGGGAAATGGGGGTGGCACCGCCTTCTTATATGATATTTGTGTATCTCAAAATTTACTGGACCGATTTCGACCAAATTTGATATGCACATTGCGCTGAATATTTTTTAAAAGTCGGGATGTATAAGTATCCCGATTTTTCATATTTGTACCGATTGAGTCCCGATTTTCAGGGCTTTATTTATTAATTTAATAAGTCTCCCTGTACTCTGGCCCAACAATAATTTTTCGTACAAACGCGGCAGCACTTTCGTCATCACAAAGGACATATAAGTGAGCCATAAACATAGCCAGCATCCTTGTTTTCTTTGGTTGTTTATTCTGTCAATATAGCTCTCGCTATATTGTCTAAATTTTGTAAGGTCTTTATAACTGTGTTTTAAGTGTTTTTAATTAAACGATTCTAACTTGAATTTAGTGAAATTATAAAAAATAATACTACATAATTCGCTCGAAAAAAATAATGGATATAAAAAATATAAGCTGTAGATACAGTGGCGAAAATATAAATAGGGAAGAGACATTTAGCATTCTTTGGCTATTCCTCTATTTAATGTTTAATATTTATGTTTATTATTTTTTACGAAAGTGTACCTCGTTATCTAACAAAGACCATGAAAGCGAAATTTCAGACTTTGTATAAAAATGAGCAAAATTCGACAACGATTCCTCAATATTTTGAGCTTTTTAATTAGATTTCTTAGAAACATTATGGGCTGGTTTCTCCAACTCAACTTAACCTAGTTTAGCCACTTGACTAAGTCTAAAAATTTGGCTAAACTAAATTAAGTTGAGTTGGAGAAACCAGCCCTATGAGTATGAGTAGATTTTTGGGAAACTTTTTTGTGGTAGGAGTTGCTCATTTTCTCCATACAAAACAAATGTTTAAACACAGTACTTTGGATATAATGGGCTACAAATTTGCATACTCAAGAGAAATCTAGAAAATCTGTTTAAAATGTTTAAAATTTTGATCAAAATTTGTTAAAATTCGTCAAATTTTTAAAAACTTTCTAAAAAGCTTTTAATTTTTACTTACATGTTTTTTTGTAGATAGTAAGCTATATTTTCATAAAAAAATTATAAACATTTCTTAAGCAAAAAAAAGTAGCCAAAACTTGCTAAAATGTCTTTTCCCTTTATACATTCTCGCCATATATTGTGTGTATAGAGTTTTGCGATAATGTTTAAATTTTTTTCTCTTTGTTCTGTTTATCTTTTATGTCTTTTTATTCTTAAAACAAAACTGTTTGTTCGGCCTCGATGATTTAGAAATGTCCCAATTTTTGGTCACAGAAGAAAAACCCCTCATATTTCTCTAAATATTTTAAATTTTCACAATCAATAATTTCCACAATTTCAAAATATGTAACATCGTCTAAAATTACATTTATTTTTAACCGACTTCCAAAAGAGGAGGAGGTTATCAGTTCGTCGGAATATTTTTTTGTTTTTTCTTGTTTTTTTTTTTAAATAAAACACATCCAACTAGCACTACAGTTCAACATAATAAAATTCTAGCCCAAACTAAAAACAAAACCACAAACTTTACGTCGGCAGATAGGGGACCAAGGTTACCTTACGGTCATAAATTTATAATTTCATTTCTATTAGAGTATCTAGAACAAAGTCCGCCTGTTAAAAATTTTGAAAGTAAAAACTGAAAATTGGACTTTTGACAACAGAAAGTGCTTATTTCAACCATAGTGCATGGGGATGAAATCCATTTGGCATTCGAAAGCGGCATAAAACTATAAGTCCATCCACTTGTGTTACAACATCAAGACGCACACCACAAATTAGAGGAGAACTTCGGCCAAACACTTAGCAAAAGTGAAAGCGCCAAAATATTATTATAATATTATTAACGTTCATATAAACAAATATATTCGCTGCATAACAATCACTTTGCTTAGAAACTGAACTGTGACTGCAATTATTTTAAGAAAATTAGAATTTTTTTGTTAAAACACAAAAGATAAATACGCTTATATGTATTTTGTATTTTATGTACACTTAAAAAGGTTTATTCTTTGAAAAAATTTTAAAGTAAATCATCCGCTTCAGCTTCGGTAATCGGCCGAAAGTTAGAGCAAAAACTATACCCATTATGTAATAACTGATTTGACTTACTCAATAAATTGAATTAATTATATCAGGTGGCAATTCTTTTCGAAAAAATAAAACATCTACAGGCCAAGCGCTTTAATTTGATACCTAATATTTTAACATGGGAAAACATAAAACATATTATTCACTTTAATTCAGGGACCATAACGGTTATGATCTTTAAAACCTAACCGTTATCTTTTATGCTTTTTTGATCATATAACCGTTATTTTCAGATTTAATATTTTAGACCAGAAAAGATTTAAATCAGTCATACAAAACGCAGTCTGCCTCATAAGGTTTGCAAACGATCGAAAAAATAAGAATCCAATTTACCCAAAAAAACAACAATCTAAATTTAACGCTTATTCTTGATCGGAAAAATAAAAATCAAAGAACGATTTTTTAATACGCAAAAAATAAAAATCTTAATATTCAACGGTCATTTTCGGTCCCTGCTTAAATTTCAATGTCTAATGTTGTATGAAAAAAGGATCAATATTCGAAATAAAATTAAATTACAACTTCATGGTAAGAAAGATATTACATATTGTATGTATGGATTTTAATTATAAAACAAAGCACAAATAAATAAAAAAAATTATTCATAATTTGCAATCTTAGAAGATAATGCTGTTCCATGCGATTTTATGTGTGCACATAGTCCAGCGGATTGGGCAAAACGCTTCCCACAAATCTTGCAAACAAATTTCTTTGCTGCATCATGAATGTCTTTGTGTTGACGAAGTTGTTTCCGAGTTGTAAATCCTTTATTGCAAACGCTGCATATTTTGTCCCGCACCTTCAAATGAGTGGCCTTGTGTTCCCTAAACATACTCCTAGTATAAAAGGCCTTTGGACAAATTGTACACTTGTGAATTTTGCGTTCCTCATGTCGTGGCAAATGTTCTTTAAAATCGTATAGCTTTTTGAAACTCTTGCCGCAAATATCACAAACATACGGTTTTTCGCCAGTGTGGATAAGCATATGGGCTTTTAACTCAGTTGAGGTTGCAATAGGCCTGTTGCACACCTCACAGGTGTAGCTGTAGTCTTGTGCATGCCTCCGCAAATGTACCGTTAAATTATCTGACTTCTGAAATCCATGTCCACAAACAATACATTTATATGGTGGCGATCCGTCATGGGATGCTAAATGTATTTTGTACTGGTTTTGACTAGGAAGTAAATTTCCACAAACTGAGCATTCAAAAGGATTAACATCGACCTCAGCAAACGCCAAGTGCTTATAATATGGGCATGTTGGTTTATAAATACTTTTGCTTTGTTTACATTCTATTTTTTGATTCTTTTCGTATGAACATATTTTGCGTAGTCGAGAAAGTTTCTTTTCCAGATCAGGTTTAGTTAAGTTTATATCAAACTTTTTATTAAATTCCTGAAGTATATTCTCCAAGGCTTCACGACGCCTGTTAGTGAATCTGTATGCTATCTCATTTTCATTCCAGAGGCATGGATGTGTTTCGTACCTTTTGGCCAAATCAATAAATTGTTCATCGCTTAACACGATCTCTGGTCTTGAGAGCTTTTTAGTCTTCCGATGCACTCGTGCCTGTTAAAATTTAAATAGCTATCAGAAATATACGTAAATGGAAACAATAAAGATTGATTTATATGGTACAAATCCATAAGAATATTTTATTAAATGAAGCTTAAACCACACCACATGGGAAGAAATGGGTAATTTTATCATATATGTAATACTCCTATATTGGCAGTAAGAGCTAGAGTACCGTCCAAAAACACTACAGTACAGATATATCAATAAACACGTACGAAAGAAAAGGAACACACACATTTATAAATAAACATGTACACAACACATATACAAAACCGGCTCTCAAGTACACAATACATTGACAAAAATAGTACTAGACTGTCTCGCTTTGATTTCGGAATGCTTACACATTGAGATGTTAGCTTACTATCAATATAGAAGTATTACATATATGAATTTTATATAGTTGAGTAGAGTACGAAAATAAACTGTACAAAACAATTCCCGTTTGCTCATCGGCAGTGTACGAAAATAAACTATATTGTACGTTACTATTTCGTTTCGTTTATTACTTTAACAGTTCGGTACAATATGAAAACAAAACGGCTGAGTTCACTTTGGCGATAGTACACTACAGTAGGTAGTAGTTACATACGAAACAACAAACGAAATGAATCGTGCAGAGAAAAATATATGAATGTATGTACATATATGCAATAACTATATACAAAACGAATGGCTGCAATGAATAAAAAAAATAAAAATGTTTTTTAATTGAATTGGATATGAAAATTTACAGAAAAAAATATTTTTCTTGTAATTGAAACGTTTGCATACATAATAAAACGTACTATATGGTACAATTGTCACAAACGAAAAGCAAACGTTTCGCGTTGGGGAAAATGACAGTGAATCTTACAATTTGTTTCTGACTATGTACAAAACTGTACAAAACCACAAATGATATGATGATCGATGAGCAAATGGAAATTGTTTTGTATAGTTTATTTTCGTACCCCTGGTAAATTTTACACAAAAAATCAAAATATTCGCGAAACCATGGGCCAAATATAATAAAATTGCGATTTTGGTTTTTAACTCTGACGTCAGTAATCCAAAAATGATTTAAAAAATTCAAAGAAATGTTCTTAGAGAAGAAGTATTGGTATCAAATTAAAGAGAAAATCCCATAGAACTTTAACAGATTAAATTTTTTGGTGCATAATCACTGGTAAGTATTGAAAATGTTCTTTTAAAATTTTATTCTTGAAATTTCGCAATATTGTTCTTGAAAAAATTGTATGTTAAGCACTTATATAAACTCGATAAAATCCTCGAATTTCGTCCTTCTAATTTTATCTGCTTAAAAAATTACCTATTCGTCCTTGTGAGTCCAAAACATTTAAATTTTTTTAAATTCTAAAGAAATTTCCTCTTGCATTTGGTACCCATATTTTTGTTCTAGATCATCATCATCAATATTTATTCAAAATTTATATATAGTTACAATAGCTATTTAGCAAAATAGTGCTTTTTCAAGAAATTTTAGGGAAATGGGGGTGGCACCGCCTTCTTATATGATATTTGTGTATCTCAAAATTTACTGGACCGATTTCGACCAAATTTGATATGCACATTGCGCTTATGCTCCTTAAGCGCCATATTGAAAATCGGACACACTGCTCAAATAATATGAAAGTCTGGTACATACACTATATAAATTCTAGGCCGTATTTAACAAAAGTTGCCTAACATCGACAGTTTTTGTGCGATTTCAATAAATGAGGTATCAGTTTGTTTGAAAATAAATGTTATTTCACAAAATTATACATACATATTTTGAAATTGTGGAAATTATCAACGGCCAAAATTGAAAAAAACTAATAGAAAAAAAATCCCAACAAGCCAAGTCTGACAACAGATTATTATATAACATTTTAAAGGCCTCTATATCCTCTTTTCAAATCATATTCGATCTTCAGTCGATCGATCGAATCAAAAATAGTCATTCTAAAAAACAGATAAATCTACAAAACCGTATTTTCTGACCTAAATCGACCGGTCTCGAACTCCAAATTACGTTAAAAAAATCTATAAAAATTAGCAATATTTCTCATTAAAACCAGGGCAGGGTCGTGAAATTAAAAAAAAAAAACATTTTCGATGGGCACCTTAATGTACATACATTCATCTGCTAGACAATATTTAATGAATAAATATTTTTTATAAAGCGAAGAAATATTAGTTTAACAACAATTTATTGGGAAAGAAACACAATTACTTTAATATCATAAAAATTAATTTAAATAAAAATGAAAATTTCACTTTTCAAGGAATAAAATATAACAGGAGTGGGCAAGGCCGAGGCCGAAAAGAGCCACATGTACATTCTAAATTCTATAAAGAGCCACAAAAAAAAAAAACTTTATTTTTAAATGAAATTATTATTAGAAATGAAAAACATTAATTTTATTATTATTCTAATGCCCGTAAGATAGATATTAATGACAATTCAAAGGATCCGTGACCAAATTTTCAAAATCTGATTTTACGTCAGTTAATGCCTTTCGTAACAGTTCTGTTAAATGTTGTTTAATCAATTGTGAATAGTAATAATATTTTGTCAATATGTCAATTCTTAATATTATTGGCTTCTTATTCGTGGAAAATATGTATAAGTATGAAGTTTGGCTAATGTAACGAATGCTACTATATTCCGTATCATTTTCGCGAATTTAAAAAAAATTATCAAAATGGTAAAGAACAACATTTGCGGAAAGAAAGAGCTGTTGGGGGGAAAAAACTCTCTTCTTCAGAAAAAGGGAACCGAAAATCCCATCGTGGGCATTTGGAATGAAGACCTAGCTAGCAAATATGACTGCCGATGCATTTCTTGAGTCGAATTGAGTTCTAGAGGAAGTTTGGTGCAATTTTATCGAAGCAGAACCATTACTGGATGTTATAAATTTTATGTCGCAGCGCGTAAAAGATTTATAGAAAGCGGAGAACACTCTGCAATACATATTTTCTGAATTTGTAATTTTTAAAATAATAACTTCTTAATTTATTACAACCAAAGTTATGTGAATATTAATAACTTGCCTTTAAAACTAATCGAAATATAAAAAAATGTAAAAAATAGGAAAATCCATGTTTTATAATCGGCTAGATTTCAATGTCCGCAACTGTATATTGAAAATACAAATATCATTTGACTTATGGCATGTGAATTTGTTGTTGCCACACCTAACAAATTGTATTTGTTGATCAATATTATTGAAGATTTGACGAAGATTTAACTGAAATCTATTGCCCTTTGATATTTAATTTTATATGGTACATCTCGAAATATTTAGCGTTAAATCTTGTCAGAGAGCTAAATCTTCATTAAATCTCACAATGGAAACATAGTATAAGGCAACCGATTTCTGTACTCGTCGCTTTGTACTTTATAATTGAAATTTTTTGTGCACTGTAGCACCGCATTTATTTATATAACTGCACTCGCACTCACGTCAGTTCTAGAAGGTTCTTTCGTCTATCTCAAATTCTCTCGCCGTTCGCAGTATTCCTTCACTTGACGTTTCCTGATGTCGAATTTTGTAATTTTCTCGTTGTTCGTTTCACATGTTCGCAGTATTCGCGACAGTATGTTAAGTATACGAAGTGTTTTTAAAACCTCCTTTGTCCCAAGGGAAAGCCAAAAGTTAGAAGCGGTCAAAAATATTTTTTTCTATGCTTTCAACATCAACATTATAAAATAAATGCTTTTGAAGGACATATGGGATAACAGGATTCGAAGATATGGCAGGTGCCGCCGACTGGACATTTGTAACTAAGCTAAATAAAAAACGTTATTATACAAGAACATAAATTATTTATTTTTTAATCCATATTATTATATACGAGCACACTTGTGCACAAGGGTATTATAGATATATAGGATATATAGACAAATGTATACATAAATTATTTAAAAAAATATAGAAAAAATTTAGTTTTTTTTTAACAGCGGTCAGCACTCGGCAGGCAATGGCAAACCTCCGCGTGTATTTCGCCGTTCAGAGTCGGCGTAAAACTGTAGGTCCCTCCCCTTTGTGTGACAACATCAAGGCTAACATACAGTGACTCAAACAAATGACCACGTGTTGATTTTCTTCAAATATTCGTAATGTATTGAGAGCTAACTTTTTTTGTTATTTTTATATAAAAATATCGTCTTAACTTTAACCAAAATAGTGTAAATCATAGTTTCAAACTTTATACAAAATTTAGGAAAATTAAAAAAATTTTCATCGAAAATTCAATTTTTATTCTGAATTTTTAGAAAACTTTTGGGTATGCAGTTTTATAGCCCATACAATTTTAGTCTAATGAAGTGCAAGTTTCAAACGGCTAAAAAATCGCGTTTATTTTTGAGAATTTTTTTCGTGACGGATTTTAGCACTTTTTTCATATAAGTATGAATTTCTTGAAGTAAAACGCGGGAGACCGTCAGCAAAATTTCAAAATATCAACGCAAGTTTTTGTAAATTGCGCTGGTTATATTAAAAAACCCGAAAAAGTAGCCCCAAAAAATATTCTCAAAAATCAACGCGATTTTTTAGCCGTTTGAAACTTGCACTTCATTAGACTAAAATTCTATGCGCTATAAAACTACATACAATTTTGAATAAAAGGTTGCAATTTTGATGAAAATTGGTTGAATTTTCGTAAATTTTGTATAAAATTTGAAACTGTGATTTACACGATTTGGTGAAAGCTTAGACGATATTTTTATATTAAAATAACAAAACACAATTTAGCTGGAAACATATTACGAATATTTAAAAAAAAACTCAGTGCATGTAGTCCCTACGCGCGGAAGAAGTGAAACTTAATAGAGGAAATGCCAGAAAGAAAGAATGTGCGATGTACTTACACATGTACACATTTTCTAACGTACAAAAAAAAATATTTATTTAAAATTTTTTTAACGACCTTAAATGTTTTATTTGTTATAACCAACTGCAAAGTTTAATTATTATTTGTGGCTGAGAAAACATACAAATCTACAAGGTTAACTAGTAGATTGTGGTAACTAAAGTAAGATATCAAATGTTTTATTTCAATACTATTAATTTCTGAAAAAAAGGGTAGCCACTCCTTTGGTTGTTGGATCATTTCCACCATTAACCATTTTCAGTGAAAATTTTTCTTTAAAAAATTTTGTCAGTTCGTCAGATTCGGCCAGCAAAAAGTTGACGTTGAAATTTCCTGCGAGAATTACAGGTCGATCATAACAGTCAACTTATCTTTATCTTCGACTTCGTCTTCGTCTTCATCTTCATCTTCGTCTTCATCTTCATCTTCATCTTCATCTTCATCTTCATCTTCATCTTCATCTTCATCTTCATCTTCATCTTCATCTTCATCTTCTTCATCATCTTCATCACCTTCATCATCTTCATCATCTTCATCTTCAATTCCTTTCATGGAACTAAAGTTATGTTGCACACCTGAAGGAAGAGGCCTTTCATGTGGCACCTCATTTTTGAAAATCGAACGAACGATACAGATTTTATGACTGAGTGTTAAATATTTAACGCAACCCAAAAAACAACACGTGGTCAATTGTTTGAGTCACTGTATGTTAAGCGCCAAGCTATTATTATTATTAAAATGATAATGCGGTTATTACACATTTAACTACTTCTGGCGAGGCAGATGATGTCTAGACTAGTTCTGTGTTCTTTACCATGATATCTACCGATGAGGTTGATGTCTAGACGAGTTTTGTATATTCTATGTCTGGACAAACAAGAATTCACAATGATAAAAACGTGGTAAATATATTTTTATGTTACAGCTTATTATCCAAAGCATCAAAATCCGTGGTATCTCGAAAAGTACCAGGTGTCCAAAAATTATAAAAAAATTCGAGAAGGCATGTATTTTGGATTTTTTGAAGATTTTACAGCTTTAAACGTAGAACGGATTTATTCTATATTCTTCCTTCCTACTTGGTATTTTCTGTAGAATGTTTCTGGAAAAAACAGGGTTGCCACATATATGAAAATTTATAATTATTCAAAGGCTCCTCAGCACACTTCAATTCTATAGTTAACCCAAAACAGTTTGAAGAAATTAAACACAATTAGGGTATTCACAGTTTACTTCTAAAGTTAAAAGGTGGCAACTTTAACAAGATAACACACTCGAACTGTGAGCAACCCTTATGTTTAAATAAAGTATTAAGTTGATCAACAATACCACGCATTGCTAGACCGTTTGCCTTTCACGCGTTTGTGTTTAGAGAGCATCAACAAACCACATACATATTTCTCTCTATTCTCTCTTCTCTTTTTTATACTCAGCTAGCACAGCGCAAAAATAAAAAAAAAATAACCTTTGCCAGCTCCAGGCAGGCGCAAAGAGAAACTTATGTACAAGCAGCGCTGCGCCCAAAGCGAAATTCATGTATGTATGTACAAGCAGCGATAGATGCCAGTTTAACACAGAACATAAACATGAGACAAAGTCTAGTAATTTTGCCCAAAAGTGTTATCTCTAATTAGTATGGGAACCAACAACAAACAAAGTTACCACATGGTAAAATGTTTTAAAGTTACCAGGTGGCAAAATTAACACAGTAGATAATATAGAACTGTGAGTACCCTAAATATTCACAATTACCTTTATTAAGAAAACGTATGCTTATATCAGGGGTGGGCAAGACCGAGGCCTAAAAATGCCACATGTAAATTCTAAATGCTACAAAGAGCCACAAAAAAAAATATTTTTAAATAAAATATTATTAGAAATGAAATCATTAATTTTGTTATTAGTCGAATGTACGTGAGATAGACATTAAAGAAAATTCCAAAGATCTCTTTGGCAAAATTTTCAAAATCTGGTTTTACGTCAGTTAAAGCCGTTCGTAACAGTTCTGTTAAATGTTGGTTAGTCAATAGGTACGTTCATTTGAAATCTCCAGTAAAAAATGCCCAACAGCAAAATTCCGGCGAAATGTCATGTGTTCTCTCACAAGAGAAAAATATCCAAAATAGTACGTGAACAGAAAATTTGCAGAAACGTGCAAGTTAGACGAACAGCTGATAGAAATTTTGTTTACATTCAAAAGTATAAAATTGAAAACATAAGAAAACCAATCCCATCAAATTTAAGGATTTGCGTACATCCAACCAGCTGTTTTTGATCAGCTGTTTTTTTGTTGGCAAATTGTTGTTGGCAAAAATTTTTCCAGCAGAAACTATCAGCTTTCCCTCAAAATGAAATGTCATTTTGCTTTTCTCAATTTCACCTATAACTTTCAATAATTATCAGGTACGCGAATGCAACTAATTGTGAACGGTATTTTGACTTTACGAATTTCATTGTAGAGTACAAAGACTCACAGTTATAAATTGTATATATATATGGTACGCAGCTTTTTTCGACGGCGGATATTTTAAATCTGGTACTTGTTGCCGGAATTCAAGCAGTGGCAAACCTTTATGTTGAATTTCCAGTGCCTTATCTTCTTTTCGTTCTAAAAACGCCAACTCTTCTTCGCTTTTCTTAAAAGGGAGTATTACGGATATTGTAAATTCATCCTCAATTATGTTACATAAAAAAGGGTTTTTGAAGTATGTAAACGTACATTTAAATAATTTGAAATCGGCAAATCTTTTCTCAAAATCTGCTTTCAAATCATGTGCAATATTTTTTCCTAGCCATGGAAAATAATGAAATATTCTTTCTTTTTGAGATCATGAATAAAAAGGCGTAGTTTAGCTTCAAAACTTTAAATAATTTGCGACAAATCAAAAACATTTTTATTCTCTCCTTGTAGAGACAAATTCAAGTTTTGCAAATATTCCATCATATCGGTAAAGAACATTAAGTAAGAAAGTTAATTTTCATTCTCCAATTGCGGGTAATGTTCCAATCTCAATTTGCGTATGTGTATATAAAAATAATTAAATAAAAAAAACAACACTATGGAAAAGAAGGTCCAGCAAAGAAATATGTATTTTAAAAAATAAAAAAAGCAAAAATGTTCTAAAAAAACAGAAAGTAAAAAGAGCCGCACTTTGCTAAGCAAAAAGCCGCATTAGGCTCAAAGAGCTTCGTTTGCCCACCGTTGTAATATCACTATATGGGTATCAAACGGAAGGTGTTTAAACAAGCTTTAACACTAAAATGTCTTCGAGTAGAGTTGCCTATCTATCAGCTAAGGCTATCATTTTTATTATTTAAATTATATTATTAAAAGAAATAAAAATACGTATTTAAGTGAAAAATTTTAAGTGCTGGCTTTTATGTCAGTGTTTTAAGAATTATTTCAAACTTCAGGCTTTTATTAGCCTGCAAATTGCCACACTTGCAGTGTCCGGGGCCTACCACGAGGAGGTTACAGGAAGAAAACTTAACATTTTTTTATTAACTTTTTAATATTTTTTTGTTGAATTTTGATTTTTAATTTTATTTTTTTTCCAATTTAATTAAGGCAAGAATTTTTTGGAAAAATTATCTGTAATTTTTTGGTCAAGAAATGTTGCACCAAATTTAAATAGTTGTAGATCAAACAAAGCCAAGCTATGCAAAAATAACATGTAATAATTGTAAAATATGCGCAATAAGTAAGTAAAAACAGGCATTATTTTCCAAATAATCAAAACCATACCTGCACAGCAAAATATGCAAGAATATACACTTACGATTTCATGACATTTTAAAGGAAATCTCATGACTCGTAGAGATAACTTAATAATTTCCATTTTGTCAATGTTATTGTGGCTTATTAACATTTTATTTATTTATTTATTTTTTAATATTTTTATTAAGCTTGTACAACGATTGTTTATTAGGAAAAATTGATCCATCCATTTGAAGATGAACGAAGATTCCCAATAAAAACATGCATTTGCATGAGAATGCTATTTATTTAACCGACTTCCAAAAAAGGAGGAGGTTATCAGTTCGTCGGAATATTTTTTTTTTTTTTTTTTATGTATGTTACCGCATAACTTTGGACCACGTCAACCGATTTCGATAATTCTTTTTGCATCGGAAAGGTAGTGTCTCAGAGGTGGTCCCATACTAATCTGGTTAAGATCCGATCAGCGGATCATGAGATATATATATATATATATTTTTTTTATATGGGAGTTGAAGTCGGTTTTTTTTTTGCTAAAAGTTACTAGTTTGTATGAAATACGACCAGAAAGGAAGGTTACTCATACGCCGTGTATCGTACATGTTCATTGAAACACACGAGTTTTCTTGAAAATTTAACAATTAATTACAAAAAGTTCAAAATATCATCTTGTTTTTAACCGACTTCACAGGAAATTGTTATCAATTCGTCGGAATATTTTTATTTTTATTTATTTATTTATTTTATTTTTTTTTTTATGTATGTTACCACAAAACTTTGGACCACGTTAACCGATTTCTATAATTCGTTTTTTAAAGGAAAGGTGCTACCTCACAGGTGGTCCCATATTAATGTAGATATCTTTGGCTGTAGAATAGTGCGTTCTACTTTTTTGAACAGCGGTGGCTAGCAGTGGCGATAATCGGAAATTACACTTTGCTTAAATATGTAATTTTTATTAATTCAGACGTGTTTTAAAACAGGACTCTCTCAGTCCTCTGGCCCACTGTGCAATAACCTAATATAAAAAATGTACAAATCGTGTGACACTGCCTTAAAATGTTTGTGTCTTTACAGAGTAGTTACAAAACCTTATAAAAAATAAAGTTCTTTTTATGGGATTTTCTTCAAAATCCTGAGTTTTAATAAATCTGAAAAACATTTGTTGATATAGTAAATGATTTTGAATTCTTTACGTCTTTAGTGACACAAAGGTGGGCAGAAAGTGTGTGTGTGAATATGGACAGAAACCTTAGGACGAACCCCTTGGAGTCGCCTCAACGTTTGTAAGTAAAGGAGTTCAAAAATATGTGTTAAAACAACTATTCGTTTTCTACTCTTATAAATAGATTTGAAAAGTATTTCAGGTTGAATAAACCGGCGTTGTTTGCTGTTACACCTATAATGAAGTTGAGCGCCTGTTTGCGCTTTTTTGCGGAAGGTGGTTATCAGACGGGTGTGGGAAAAGACCACGACGTTGGACTAGCGCAGTCTAGTTTCGCCAAAGCACTCGCCGACGTGCTACGTATATTTGAGACGTATCTGTGCCCACGGTGGGTACAGTTTCCAGTGACAGCGGAAGAAAAAAGAAAAATTGCGACTGCTTTTTATGTTAAACATAAAGTTCCAGCTGTTGTCGGTTGTGTAGATGGAACACACGTTAAAATAATCGCACCATCCGAAAATGCTCACCTGTACTACAACAGAAAAGGATATTACAGTTTGAATGTTATGTTGGTACGTTCTTAAGTCGTTTTTGCAGAAAATTTACTTATTACTATTAATTCCAGGTGTATGACCATGAAATAAAAATTCGCCAAGTCGATGCTTCTCATCCGGGTGCTAGTCATGACTCGCTAATTGGGAACGTTAGCGATTTACGTTCACATTTTGAGACCGAATTTTCGAAGCATCCAAGAAATTTCCGGCTATTAGGTAAAGTTTAGCACTGTAAACATTTTTAAAGTCAGAGCATTAAGCTTTTATATATACATACATATGTATGTATGTATGTATGTACATAGTTATGCACGTATCTTCGCCTAGAAATTAAAACATACATATTTTCAATTACGTGTATTAAGGTGGATATCCGTTGGAACCGTGGTTTATCACTCCTTATCGGATGCCAGGCCAAGCAGAAATGAAGTTCAACGAAATACATTCGAAATGTCGCAACATTATTGAGAGAACAAACGGGGTTTTAAAAAACAGGTGGAGATGTATCCTTGGTGCTCGAGAACTACATTACACGCCAAAGAAAGCAGCACAAAGTATTAATGCTACTTGTTGCTTACACAACACCTGCATTTACTTCAGAGCGAATGTACCCGAAATACCCGATGGCGAAGTCGAGGTAAATTTTCCTGAAGCTCACGAAGTTCATACTACTACGCCGACGCGCAATATGGAGATTGCGAGATCAATAAGAAATAACATCCGCGATTCTTTTAATAATTAAAAATTAAGAATAGCAAATTTTGGAAATTTTTACGCACATTTAATTCTCGTAAGCATGGCTATAAATATGTATTACTATTTCGAAGTAATAAAACACTTAGATATGTTGTAATAAAAAGTCATATAGAGTGCCGCACTAAAGTATTGACACTGGGAATTTTTCACAATGTATGTATGTAAATTTTTCACTTTAATTTTTCCTCTAATTTATTTATAAAAATTAGCTCATACCAACAAAAAAAAAAATTAAATCTCAAAACTTTGTACAAAACTCAGGAAAATTCACCAAACTTGCATACAAGCTTGCACCTTTTTAATACGATTTTCTATAAAAGATCTAAGTATGCAGTTTAACAGCCTATTCAATTGTAGTATAAGAAAGTGTAAGCTTTAAGGTGCTAAAAAGCGCGTTGCTTTTGGCAATTTTTTTTCACGCAGCTTTCATACAAAAAAGTTGACGATCATTCTTCGTATGAAAGAAACTATGTGAAAAAAATTGCCAAAAATCAACGCGCTTTTTTCCAACTTAAAACTTGCACTTCATTATACTGCAATTGAATAGGCTATAAAACTACATACTTAGAATTTTTATAGAAAATCTTATTAAAAAGTTGCAAACTTGTATGTAAGTTTCGTGACTTTTCCTGAGTTTTGTACAAAGTTTCGAGGTTTAATTATTTTTTTGTTGGTATGAACTAATTTTTATATAAAAATTAGAGGAAAAATTAAAGTAAAAAAGTTTACATACAATGTGAAAAATTCCCTGTGTCAATAATTTACTGTGGCACTGTACATACATCCCCTGTGGGGAAAATCTCTAGTTCTGAACTGGGGCGCTTCTAGTACATTTAGACCCAGTACTGGTTCGCGATAAATCTCTTTTGCATGCAAACAACTGGCGAATTTAACATGGCGATGTCCTAGGAAGTGTCAATTGCCCCCCGCTGCATCCCTTTTTCGATAGTTCCGAACTAGTCCTAAATTCTATAGTTCCGAACCAGTTCTAAAATCGACAGACGAAAGAAAAAAGTATGATTTTTCAACCTTTCAGTTCTGTCGTGTGCGATTTTACATTATTTTCAAAGAAACGTTTTTTTCAATTTGAAATTAAATTTGTTTGAATGATTGTAAGAAATGTACGTTTACATACCTTGCTGTAGCTGACTTTGCAGAGGTGCTCGCTGTTATTGGTTAGATTCCAGACGGTCCCATATGTTAATATGTTAACACAAAGCTTTGTTTTGTATTACCAAACTATGAAATAGCATCTGCGGAGCACAGAATAGCAGCGTATTTGAACGAAAAAGCCGCCGAACACATATCTATATAAAGTAAATAAGCCCCCCGCTGCATCCCTTATTCGATAGTTCCGAAATAGTTCTAAATTCGACAAATAGGCTCTAGTTCGTTCTGCATCTCTTTTCTATAGTTCCGAACCATTTCTAAATTCGTCACTTTAGATATCGATTTCTAGTGAAAAAAACTGAAAAAAATTAGTATTTTAAAAGTACCCATTTTCGCCGATTTCGGACTGGTGGAGATCTAGTTCATATCGGTCTAGGTCCTTTTTGGCGATAAAGACCTAGTACGGAACTAGAAATTTGATTCACTAGTCCGCGGTTTCCCTGCAGGGTATGTATCAGAGTCCAGCGCAAGTGTATTTGCCGCATTTCGTTCAATAAGTACTCCTTGCATTGTACTCTACTCCCAACACATTGTTACTCTTTTTCCGCATACATACCCTACTTGGCGTTGAGAGAGTAAATACTTGACGTACTTGCTATTACTCCACCAAAGTAGGTACTCTACTTTCTCTCATCGCGTACGAGAGATATTTGCTGCTGCCAAAACCAATAAATAACCAATAAATAAGTTGTCAAAAACAATAACTTAAGCAATGCTGCTATACGAAATAAAATTATTAGTGGCAAATCAAAATTTTGAAAATTTTCACATTCGATAGTGGGACATGGTAGCGACGAGATGTACGAGCATTTTTTTCTTAAGAGCTGCATACTGATTTAAGAAATTTTTTATAGAAGCAAATTTATTTTCCATTTATTGTGCGTAATTTTATATGAATTTTTAGTTTTTCTTGAGAGCCTTTACAAATAAAAAAAATTTCGGAATATGTACATATGTACATTAGAGTGGTCCAAAAAAATTAAGTTGGAATTTTAATGCCGGCACCCCCTAGGATTGTTCTATATCGAAAAAAATATACCCCTATTTTTTATTTTGCAGAAGTTGAGCGCAACCGTTGCTAAAAAAATCAGTGATCGTAATGCGTCTTCTGAACGGCTTGATACATTAGCTGTCAAATTCAAAACACACAACACGTTGTCTCAAATGATCAGAAAAATTTTACGATCATCTAACACGCAACTGTTCAGTTGATCAGAAGTACAAAACAACGCGTTCAGAAGGTGCAATCGCAACAGTTACTGAGCTGTTGCGCCTTCTAAACGTGCCCAATGATAACTTTTTTTTGACAACACTGCGACAGCTCAAATTGGTATTGAGTAAAACCAAATGCAAGATAGAGTTTTTGAATTTCATTGAGTTTTTTTTTAATAAATATCTACTAAAATGAGAGGTGTATGAATGGCGAAAGAAAAACTATCCGATTTAAATCGAAACTACATTTTTACATATGTACATATGTACATGCATACATAAATGTATTTAATATGAAATTGAAATTTTCACATCAATTTGCGCTATCTTCAAACCCATGGTTTCAATTGTACGCATATCGTCAGGGTTTTCCCCACAACTTCGTTTTGCTGCAGTGAAGCGACAGAACAAGTGACGAGAAAAAATATATGCGGACACTTATATATGTATCTATACACATACGTATCTATGTACATACGTATCTATGCATATATGTATCTATGCACATACATACATATGTACTTAGGTATGTACACAGAGAAAATGATACAGGTAAAACGCAAGTTTTTAAAAGAAATTGTAAAATAAAAGTTTTTGAAATAATTTTACTTCATACAAAATAAAAAATACAGTATTTGTATTTACGACTTTAAAACGAAACATTCGCAAAACAAAAACGATCGTTACAATATATTTACTTTTTTACTGAGGAGAACAGACGAAATTAAAGAGACAACGGAAAAAA